GGATTTCATTCTTTTTTATGCCTGAATAATACTCCACTGTGTGTATAGACCATATTTTTTCCACTCATCTCTTGATGACTACCTAAGTGATTCCATATCTTAACTACTGTTAATTTGCTGCAATAAACATAGGCATGCAGGTAATCTCTTTTGAATGCTGACTTAATTTCCTTTAGATATATACCTAGGAGTGGTATAACTGGATCAGAGATCTATTTTTATTTTTTTCAAGAACCTCCATACTATTCTCCATAATGGCTATACTAATTCACATTTCTACCAATAGTGTATAAGAATTCCCTTTTCTCCCTTTCTTTGCCTGAATTCTTCTTTTTATAAGAGCCATCCTAACTGTGGTGACATGATATCTCATTGTAGTTTTGATTTGCATTTCCCTGATGGCTAATATGATATTGAGCATTTTTTTCATAAATGTTTGGCCATTTGTATTTCTTTTTCTTTTATTTTCTTTTTTTGAGAAGTGTCTCTTCAGATCATTTGTCCATGTTTAATTGGATTATTTGTGTGTTGTTGAGTTTTTTGAGTTCTTTATATTTTCTGGATAATAACCCTCTGTTGGAGGAATAGCTAGCATATATTTTCTTCCATTGTATAGATTCTCTCTTCACTTTGTTGATTGTTTCCTTTCCTGTACAGAAGCTTTTTAATTTGATGCTATCCCATTTTTGCTTTATTCCCTGGTGCTTTTGGAGTCTAACGCAGAAAATCACTGCTTGTATCAATATCTTAAAGTGTTTCTCCTGTGTTTTCTTCTAGTATTTCCAGAGTTTCAGGTCTTACATTAAGGTTTGATTCATTTTGAGTAGACTTTTATACAAAGTGAGAGAAATGTCAGAGTCCAGTTTCAATCTTTTGCTTGTGGATGTCCAATTTTCCTGAAATGGTTCCAGGATTTCTTAACCATACAATTCTTGGGTTCAAATCTCAGTTTAGCCATTTACTATGTTGGGTAAATTTGGTCAAGCTCTTTAACCTCTTATACCTTGTTTCCTCACATGTAAAATCAGGATAATAAAATTAACAATCCTACTGGGATGTTGAGATCGAGTGGCTGTATGTAAATCACTTAGAAGAGTTCCTGGTACAGTGTAAGTCACATTAGCCATCCTTTGTCACCAGTGTGACATCATCTTATATTCCTCATTTCTGGGTTCTTCTGTGATCTCTATGATTTGGAGAAAAAAATTTTTTTTTCACATCTATGCTTCGCCACTGGAGGTCTCTCTTGCATTTCTACCAACCATATCACCCTACCTACTGAGAAGAGAAAATCCTTAGCAACTGCTTTGGTTGTCAGGTGCCAGGACTCAGGAGGGTGGTTTGCTCTTTTCCCTGCCCCAAATCCAGGCCCAAAAGTGTAGGTGAGTTTTGCTGTGGCAGCTTTCCATGGTATTGCCCCTGTTCTGTCTCCACCTGCCTTCCTTTGAAATCACCCCTAGAACACTTCGTGCTTCTCTCAAAAGCCTGAGCCTCCAACTTCCATTCTGAACTTTCTCCCCACTCAGCAGAGATGGAGAGGAGCAAAAGAATGAAGTGCTAACTCCACTTCTCACTTTGTTTGGATGCTTGGATCTGAAAAAGAGAGAAATGGGTGGTCAGGGTTTGGGGGGAAAATGAGCAAAAAGGACCACAATGGGGCTATTGATAACAAAATAACTACATGGGATAAATCACCTTGAGCTTCAGCACAGAGGTTCTCAAGCTCTGATTTGCATTAGAATCACCTGCAGTGCTTTTAAAACACTCAGTGCCTGGGCCCAATCCAGTCCAAATGCATCAGCCTCTGGGGCAAACCTAGGCATCCCAGGCATCGAAAACTAGTGCTTTATCATCTACCTCAAAAGTGGTCTGTGGAAGAGCAACCAGAACCTCACCTGAGCTCTTGTTATTAATGCAAAATTTCAAGCCCCACCCCAGACATACTGAATCAGAATCTTTTTTTTTAAGACCCCAGGTGGTCAATTTGCACTCTGAAATTTCAGAAGCACTGTTTTAGTACCCTCAACTAACAACACTACACCTTGAAATCACCTAGAGAGCTGGAAAATAATACTAGTCCTTGGATTTACACAACTTGCTCAGCTATATTCTCATGTAAGTACTAGACCAAGTATAATAAAAGCTTACTGTAGCTTCAACAATTATTATTGAATCAATAATTATTGATCACACATATACACATACACATTAGCTTTTATCCATTGCTGTAATTCCTCATATACTTTTTTTTATAGCATAGGTCAGCAAACATCAGCCTGCAATAGCCATCAAATTTGCCCCCCATTTTTTTGGTGTGTGGTGCTGAGGATTGAACCCAGGGCCTTGTACATGTGAGACAAGCACTCTATCAATTGAGCTATATCCCCAGCCTCACCCTTCATTCTTTTTTGATAAGAAAGTATTAGAACACAGCCCCTCACTTCACTTACCTATTTCTAGGATTGCTTTTATGCAACAGATGAATTCGTTTCCACAGAGACCACTTGGCTTGCAAATGCTAAGACATTTACCATCTAGTCTTTTATGGAAAATCTTTGCCAAACTATATTTTATAGTAATTTGCCACTGCTCTTAATTTGCCTACAGCTACCATATAGTTCAAGCTTTTTTCAACTTCATTTACTCATCTATTTACCTTTCCTATTTCCTTTTGCTTTGTTCACTCTCAATAAATATTCTAGAATGATTCAGATATTTGTAATATTTTACACATATCCCCAACAGCCACACTTACTAGAATTGCGATTGTCAGTCTCCAGGCTAACATCTTTGTGTATTTCAGCAAGTCAACCTGTCCGACTTTGTGTCTTCAGTTTAGCCTGTCTCTCATTGTGCCTTTGTTAATTGAAGGCCATCAGTCATCCCGCTTCTGGGAGCATCAGAGTGGAACAATTCCTGACTAACCTTTTTTGACTGATTCTCCGTAATTACATATTCATCACAGAGACTATTTAAAGTGTACTCATTTTTAAGTCATTGCAATCTACTCCAATCATTTTCTTGCTGTGAGGCATTTAAATTTTATTAATATGCAAAGCTACTGCCTTGTATGAGGTGGAATAGACTTCTTCCATTTTATCTGCATTTCAACGTTTACACTTTATAATGTTGCTTTTAGTTTATAATTCATTATATATGATATTAACTGTACCACATGGACCAAGATTTATTCTCTTTTTTCCTGTGATATAATTTTCTGTGCATGATTTTTCTCATCCCAAAAGTTCAATTCTTCTATGAAGTTTATTGGGAACTAAAAGTACCAATTTAAAATATATTTTAGAAGTATAAATAAATAAGTATAAATGAAAACATTCTAAGCAGGAACAGCCATGCATTTTTAAATTTTTTTAACCAAATAGTTATTCCTTCAACAAATCATGTTGGGTTCTGTGGCATGTTCTACATTATGTTTGGCACTAGGGCACAGTGTGGCCAGGGCACAGTTCCTAGTCATAGTCTGATAGACTTAGAAATAAATATCTCCAATCTAATCTGGTAAGATCTAAAAGAGATATAAACACAAAGTGCTGTGTGAGTCCAGGAGAGAAAAGGGGGTCTAATTCTTACCTGGGGAGGTAAAAAAACATCTACCATGGAGTGAGATAGAGCCTTAAAGTGTGACTTGGAGCTCTACAAATGAAGAAGAAAGGAAAACATACTTTAGCTATGTTCATTTGCTTCCGGGGAAGCAATAGAGAGGGAGAGTTAAAAAGACAGAAGTATAAGGGGATAGAGTTGGTAAAAGAAGACCCCCAGAGGAGTGGAGAGGCAGGAAGAGGGATTATTTTTTTTCTTAAGGAATTTCACAAAACTCTTCTCTCAAAGGTTGTCACCGATTTACCAATTAACATCACTATTTGTCTCTTCAGAACTTGCCCTTCTTGATCATTCTATAGCACTTAGTGGTGGCTAGTCCTTTCTTCCTTGCCTGCCTTGTCCTCACTTGGTTTGCCTAGGATTAATCTATAGAGAAATACATAGAGCTAAGAGGGAGGCTAGGTCATAGATTTTACCTTGGACCTCTTTAATTCTTACTCTATATATCTGCCGCCTTGAGCTCAGCCACATCCATGGCCAATCTGTCTCTTTCTCCTCCCAGGTGTGTTTGTTTTGTTTGTTGTTTTGTTTTTAATGACAAAACTTGCACATCCACCTGTGAAACTTTTCCCCTGGATGTTCTCAGAAAACTGAGTAAGCAAGTCTCAAAATGAATTCATTGTCTATTTGCCAAACCCTCCCTAGGTTTGCCATACCTGCCCCACTCTCTCAAGTAATAAACTTTAGAGTCACCCTAGACTTATAGCTCTTAGCCTGAACAGACTTGATATCTCCCCCCTTTCTATGTGCTCCTCTTCTTCCTAATGACCCATATCCTTTTGTTGTTGTTGTTTTGTTCTGATTCCAGGAATTGAACTTAGGGGCACCTGACCACTGAGCCACTTCCCCAGCCCTATTTTGTATTTTATTTAGAGACAGGGTCTCACTGAGTTGCTTAGTGCCTTGCTTTTGCTGAGGCTGGCTTTGAACTGGTGATCCTCCTGCCTCAGCCTCCAGAGCCACTGGGATTATAGGCGTGCACCACCACAACCGGCTCATATCCTTTTTGGGCAATAATTATCTGTGATCTAATAATTTCTGTAATCTCTGTACCTTTCTGGGATCTCAAATCACAAAATTCAACTCTGGCTAATCAAAGCAGAAAATAAATTTTCTGAAAGACATCCAGTAACATACTTGGAAAGCTGTAGGACCACGCTTAGAAAATGGGAAGCATCATACAAAGTAGAACCTTATCTCCCATCTACCTTTATACTTTTCCTTAAGAGGAAATATGCTCAGATGTTAGGTTGTGCAAAGTGATAATCTAGTTCTTATAACCCTCTTTTAGTAGATGCTGTTGGTGCTTTGCCCAGATCCACTTGACCAGCAGGACACAGCTGCTTGTGAGTATACGGCAGCTGACGGCTTATGTCTGTGACCTTTTCAGGAGGATTATCCTTGGCCAACTGAGACAGCCAAAGTCCAGGGATACAGAAGAACAAAAGCAGTGAGTTTTATGATCCAGAGACCATTTTTTTTTATCTAGCGAAGGTGAGACTTTGCCTTAAACCACTTCCTTGCTTGGTTCCTTCACTGGCCCTATCCTGCTGCATGGCTTTCTCCTGAGTTCATTCTGGAAGGATTTACTTCCAGGAAGCCCAACCAAAAACTTACCTTCAAACAGAGTTGATTATCCTCTGTGTTACCACAATTTCTACTTTGTTCCTTGTTAATGACATTTAACACTTTGTATGGCTATTTTTGGTTCATGGGTCAATATCCCTTAATAGGCTATGGAAACTGTGAATGCAGGGAACATGTGCATTTTTCTTTCCTTAAGCCCTACCATATATATAAACAGGAGCTTATAAGTGGTAGGATGAACTTAATAAAAAATAAAGTCAGATCATAGTAGATCAAAGAATGAATAAAAATAAGGCTACAGAGACAATAAGTGTCACAATAGGCTCTTGTTCCAGTGTCTAAATGTACCCAGAAGTGTCATTATTGGCTTACCTATTTCATCTGCTAACTAGAGTGTGGGTGATTGAGCAAAGACACATTTTTAGTAATTAGTCTCTGCCCAGAAGAATTTCTTCCCAGATATAAAGTTCACATAATCTGGTTAATTTCCCAAATAGGTCATGCATATTCTTTCTTTCTTTGCTAGTTTCATTACTGTTTACTCAGGAAGGGTAAATTTAAAATTTAATTACTTAGTAGTTTGTTTCATTTATTCCAAATGGTTCTAGATTGATTAGCCTATTACCTCATCTATGAAAATCTGTATGTGATAGATATAGGACAAATAATCTTACAAAGGGCTGAGGATATAGCTTAGTGGTAGAGTGCTTGCCTAGCATGCATGAGGTCCTGGGTCCCATCCACAGCACCACAATAATAGTAATAACAATAATTTTACTGAGCATTTACCATATACAATATATTGTGGTATCAATTATTGAGGGATAGGAGGTTGAAAAGAAAGAATAGAAACTTTTTCTATGCTGCAGGAGTTTGAGCTAGCTAGAATCATGGCACAGTTTAGGATCACTTATAAAGGACCTTATCAACATATTTCAAGTTAATTAATAATTAATGCTTAGAGCTGGGGTTGTGGCTCAGCAGTAGAGCACTTGCCTCACATATGTGAGGCCCTGGGTTCGATCCTCAGCACCACATAAAATAAATAAATAAAATAGAGGTATCGTGTCCAACTAAAACTAAAAACTAAATATTTAAAATAATAGTAATAATTAATGCTGAGCCTGTAAGGACCAATAGGATATAGTATGACAGAATGATAGCAAGAACTAGGCCAATAAAGAAAGGAAGTTTTCTGGAAAGAAGCTTTCCTCAAGTTTGATAATGAACTTATTTTAAAAGACACTTTCTTAATATTCCTATCTAGCCCATGCTTTCTTATTTCTTTTTTTCTATTTCTTTTTTTGTTTTTTTAATTTTTTTTGTTTTTATTGGTTCTTTTTAGTTATACATGACAGTAGATTAATTTTGACATAACTGCACAAGCATGGAATATATCTTGTTCTAATTCAGTCCCCAGTACCTCTCCTTCCTCTTCTCTTTCCCTACTCCTTGCTCCCTTCCTTCTATTGATCTTTCTTCCACTTACCTACAGTTATTTATTTTTTTAAATAATTTCTTGTGGATGTACACAATGGTGAGATTCACTGTGGTATATTCATATATGTACATAGGAAAGTTAGAGCAGACTCATTCCACTGTCTTTCCTTTTCCTGTCCCCACCCCCTTCATTTCCCTTTGTATACTCCATTGAACTTCTATTCTCCCCTGTCAAGCCTTCTTATTTCTGCTCTAAAATACCCAAGCCACAATTCTAAACATGCTATATTCAAATACTAGAATGAATTAAGTAGATGGAGACCAGTCTGTATCTCAAGCTGAGAGTGTCACAGGGCTGCCACTTGGTGAAAATGTCATTATGCCATTGGTTCAAGTTCTAGCCCGCAAATTGTTAATGCAAGGGTTTATTTCTCTCAAAGAATCTCAGGGTGTACAGGTTCCACATGAGAGATCAGTGACCTTTTTCTGTAAAGTGTAAGTATTTTAGCCAGATGTGGTGGTGCACACCTGTAATCCTAGAAGCTCAGGAGGCTGAGGCAGGAGGATTGCAAGTTCAAAGTCAGCCTCAGCAATTTAGTGAGGCCCTAAGCAATTCAGTGAAGGGATGTGGCTCAGTGGTTAAGTGCCCCTGGGTTCAATCCCTGGTACAAAAAAAAAAAAGTGTAAGTATTTTAGAATTTACATCCCATACCATCTTTGTCACAACTATTTAACTCTACCATTGTAATGTGAAAGCAGTCAGTCAGAATATATTTATGTGGCTGTGTTCCAATAAAATTTTATTTACAAAATGAGTGGTTGCACAGATTTGTCCCAGAGGCTATAATTTGCCAATTCCTGTTAAAGAAGCCTGACTCACACCAACAATATTGCCCAACAATTACTGGTCAGATACAGATAAGGTTTACATATTCACAGGACAGATTACCTGCATGTCTTATCAGAAATTGACCACTAAATAAGTTAAACTTTCAATCAGAAATTTGCTTAGCAAGCAACAGATCAAGCCAACAAAATTGTTCTCTTGATTTGTGTTCTTCCAGAAGTGACCCTGAGCAATGGTTTGAATGCAAGTGTCTATTGGCAGATAATCCCAGGAAATATGAGTAAGGAAATAGAGAAGTAAAGCAGGGAAGGGTAGGAAGCTAATAAAATTTGTGTTATCAAGCAAGATGATGAAAATCAACTAGGGCAAAATCTCCTGGGAAAACATGTGTCAGATTTATCTCACTCATGCAGCAAGGGAGCTGGAATATTTTTCCAGTAACTCCATCAGTTATTGGTTTGAAGGGACAGGCAGAGAGCACTCCAGTGTTCAGAGAAAGCCATCAAGCAAAAAGTTTCAGGGGCTGGCTGCTAGAAGTTGAGCAGCATATATGGACAAGGTAAATGCCAAGGACGTATAGTGGGGCACCAACAGCATGTTACGTTTGTTTTCTCCCAATTGATATTCATCAGGTAATATGACTTAATGAATAAATTTTCTGTCATAGGTATTTTTCTCACATGGAACTGGTCATGTAGAAACCAACTAATCTTTCTCTTCATGATTTTGGACAGGCAAAAACACATACATATTTCTAACAATCTCTTTTCTTAAATATTCCTCATTAGCTAACCATAATTTTATTTTATTTTATTTTATTTTTAGCTAACCATAATTTTAAATGCTAAAACAGAACATACTAGAATGGTCATAATTATAGATTTTTTTTTAAAACTGGTAAGTACTTTGTTTTATAGCTTCTCATTTGGCCTTGATTTATGGTGGTTCATTACTTACTATGTGTACTGTGCTGCCATATTTATTGTTAGAGGAGACCAAAGGCTGGCCTGTAGAAAAGGAGAAAGTAGATTAGCAGTGAAAGAATAAAGGTAGGCAATGAGGCAAGGGAATGAATTCCTGGGAGAAGCAGAAGCAGTAGAGGTTGGGCAGAAGTAGGGTGAGTAGAAATCACTGCATCCTGTAGGAAAAAGAAGAGATATGAATAGACCTCTCCTGATTCCTACAATCTTTTTTTCCTCACCAGCACCACCACCACTACTACTACTAATGGTGGTAATGGGAAGATTTGGGGGCATTCATTGAATATACCCAAGGTTTGAACCTTTGGACTCTCTTTATGGTTCTTCACCAGAGATGATATTTTCTTTCTCTTGGTTTGTTTGCTTGGGTTTATATTTCCAACTAAAGGAGTATAATGCTTCTGATCACCTCCAGCATATTCCAGGAGAACCCAGGGTGAATTGTGTGGTCACAGCTGAATCAAAGAACAGGAAGATCAAAATTGTCTTCTTTGTCTGATCATGTGGACTCTTGGGGTATTAACTAATCAGGCAGAGTTATTTTAGGAGCAACTATGGAAAACCAGAGTGGGTAAGCAGTCTCTTGGTACACACCCAAGTTTGGGAACACAGTAACATAGAAGAAGGAACTCCATGATGCTGGCATGTTCGGAGCACAATTTTTAGGTTGTTCCATTGACTTTGTGAGCCACTGCCATTCTTAATGCCAAATAAGCAGTATAAGCCTAGTGGTTAAAAGCATGGGCTTCAGCGTCATGCTGACCTGAGGTAGATTACTGTTTCAACCACTTAGCTCTGCTGCATGCTCTATCCATTTAGATAAAAATGTCATACCTCACTGAGCTTCCTATGAAGAACCTACTTTCAAAAAGCATTTGAGGTCAATGCAGACTTTCTTAGAATTTTGCAGTGGAAACCAAGAGTTTACATCCTGTTCCTCAAAGCAATCAACTTCAAAATTTGTTTGACATTTATATTCTTCCAAGTTCTTTCTTGGGCTTCCTGTTATAATGATTTTCCTCTCTGTCCTTCATACAATTACTAATATATTGGCTCATCCATACCCCCACTTATTTTCTGTTCCATCTTGCTAGGCGATTCATTGACACCCTTCTGACTCTCTAGGTCAACAACATATAGGGGTCTCCAGTTAACAGGACCCATTCGGCTTAGAAGGCAAATAGGATTATGTTATTAGTGGAAAGGGTGGGAGTTTCTTATGCTTCACGTCGCCCTAAGGACTTTTCTTTGTTTTGTGTGTGTGTGTTTACACTTTATTTCCCGAGAAAGAAACACATGGCAGCAACACATCCAGCTTCTCTCAGTTCCTTTGCCTACCCCTCTCCAGGGGTGAATAAGTAACTTTTTAAAAAATATAAACAGGAGCTAAGGCTGTAGCTCAGTGGCAGAGTGCTTGCCTACTATGTGTGAGGTGCTGGGCTCAATCCTTAGCACCACATATAAATTAATTAATTAATTAAATTAAAAAACAGAAAGCCCACCACCTCTTTTTTCTTTTTCTTTTATCATTTTTAAAGTTTTATTGATTTTATTTTTTTATTTTTTATTTATTTTATTTTTTATTAAATACATGACAGTGGAATACATTACAGTTCTTATTACACAGAGTACAATTTTTCATATCTTTGCATATAGAGTATGTTCACGCCAATTCATGCCTTTATACATGTACTTTGGGGGTTTTTTTGCATTACAATTCTTATTACACATATACAGCACAATTTTTCATATCTGTTTGTATATAAAGTATGTTAACACCCAATTTGAGTCTTCATACATGTACTTTGGATAATGATGTCCATCACATTCCACCGTCCTTGCTAATCCCCTGTCCCTTCCCTTCCCTTCCAACCACTCTTCCCTATCTAGAATTCACCTATTCTTCCCATGCTCCCCCTCCCTACCCCACTATGAATCAGCTTCTTTATATCAGAGAAAACATTTGGCATTTTTTTTGTTTGTTTGTTTGTTTGTTTTTTTTTTTTTTTTGAGATTGGCTAACTTCACTTAGCATTATCTTTTCCAATACCATCCATTTACCTGCAAATGCCATGATTTTATTCTCTTTTAATGATGAGTAAAAAAAAAAATTAGAAACAGGAGGGAAAGCAACAGAGTGTGTATGGCTGCTGTGAAGGTGTGCCACACAGATCACCCTTCAAGAGAGAACTTGCCATTCAGTTGTAAGGAGTGCAGCTAATTGACAGCCTCCAAAATTTTAAGATCACATTCTTCTTGGCAGCCTACCCAGTGACCAAACACAGAAGGAATGCTAAAACCTGCCCATTTCTGCCAATGTGAGACTCCAATATAAGGATTATTACTCTGGAGTTCCCCAGTGGGTTGTGTGAGACTTTGTCCAATCTGCATTGAGATCCCAGGTTATCCCTACCCAATTCTGCTTCTTCTTTTCTTTGATAGATGTCAGACTGTAGCATCATCTGAAGATTTTCCATGCCCAATTTGCTTCCTCCCACTTTTATCTTATTAAAAGGTTTTTAGCCATAATAAGCTTTTTGCACTCCTAACTCTGTCTTAGAGGCTGCTTCCCAAAGATTCAACTAACACAGTGTAGTCCTATGGCTTGATTATTTACTTATGTGTTCTCTCTCTCTCTCTCTCTCTCTCTCTCTCTCTCTCTCTCTTTGTCCAGAGGATTCATGTACTCATAAACTCTATGAACTAAGTTTCCAAGAAAATTAATTCTCCTTGAAAGTAGGAGGTTGTATTCTTGGGTACATTGCTAGGGAGGGAGGTTTTGAGGTGCCCAGTATGTCCGCATCCAGTTTCATTCTATAATTCAATCTTAGAATGACAACGCTGATATTTTTATCCTTATCTGTTTTATTCCTGTGGTTTTGATCTCAATTAGTTTGTGACTCAGGAGGGAAATAAAAAGGGCTGATTCATTTATCCTTTCAACCCCAGTATGAATAGGAAAAAAAATTCTTACATGTAATTTGGAATACTTAAATGATTTTCCAAAGGTCACATAGGGCATTCCTTCTGCTCTTTTTTAATGAATTTATTTTTTTTTAATTAACCAAAGGCATGATCTTAAAAGGTGATAAAAATGAGCAGAATGATAGAATTTGATTACTAAAGAATTTTTACAATAATTGCTTCTGCAGATGGATCTATTGCTTCCTTGAAGATATAAAGGTAGAATATTTGGATCATGAGCATGAGGCTTTCCTAGAATTTTAGCATATGTATGTTCCATGGAGAAATTTCTTGGTCTTAGTGTATCCAGAAAGGACTCTAGCAGACAAGCTTTAGGATACTGGTTCTCTCACATTGTCTATGAGAACTTCTGTGCATACAGCCATTGCTGAAGTGTTGGTTCAGATATCTTTTCATTCCTTCCCAGATACCTGGCCTAATTTGCCTCAGGTGCCTACTTAAAGTGTCAATATTGGTATTATATCCATAGCCCCTCTGCTCATCAAAGACATCATGTGCAACTTCAGTGGACAGTATGTTCCCATATTACCAGAGACTTTTTACCTCAAGTGCCTATATTTCTCTGACTTAGAATAATCTCTGGCTATGGGAGAGTGCTAGGCCTACCTATGTGCTAGGCCAGGAAGTGCCAGGGAATTTAATGCCAAAGGAGTACCTTCTAACCAATGTAGAACAGGAGTTACTGGGAACATCTCCAATTTCCTCACTCTCTTGGAGGAATAATTCTGCAACATGATCCATAAAGTCTCTCAGAAGGTGCCCAATACATTGAGTCCCCTAGCAATAACCCACTCATTAACATATCTTGTATTGAATGTTCTCCTTTTTCTTTCTAGTTTCCTCCTCTGTGCTTCCTAATATCAACCCCTGCTGTGAACTAAATGTTTGTGTCACTCCAAAAGTCGTACGTTGAAATTCCACCCCCCAGTACTATGGTGTTTGGACAGTGATTAGATTTTTAGGGTTGAGCCCTCATTATGAGATCAATGCACTTATAGGACAGTGACATTGCTCCTCAGGTGCCAGGCCTTGCAGTCAGCCTACTGGTCCGTGCCAAGAAGCAGCAGTGGAGCGATGGAGTGGTAGAACAGCAAAGTGGTGGACCCAGTGGGTTGGAGCTCTCTGCACTTCAAGAGAGAGGCACAATGGGCCAGTGCTAAGGTGAGCCATGGCAAGCCTATCTGTCACCCTGTATCAGCCTAGATTCCACACAATGGAGATGCCTGCTGCAGAACCACACTCTAACGGGCAGTGCAGTGCCAGACACCCCAATGAGCATGCACAGTCAATGACTTCATCCTCCTACTTCCAGAAGGTGAGAGAAAATGGAAATGGGGCAGACTTGAATGACTCAAGAATTGACCAATAGCTGCGTGTGGTGGCACATGCCTGTAATCCCAGCAGCTGGGGAGGTTGAGGCAGGAGAATCGTTGAATTCAAAGTCGGCCTCAGCAATCTAGCAAGGCCCTAAGCAAATCAGGGAGACGCCGTCTCAAAATAAAATATAAAAAAGGACTGGGGATGTGGCTCAGTGGTCAGGTGCCCCCAGTTCAATCCCCAGTATCCACCCCCCAAAAAAGAATGGACCAATAGTGTTAGTACATTTCCAAGCCCTAATTAGCATAAGTTTAAACCAATAATAGTGAACAAGTGCTATATAAACCCCCTAGACTAGCACACTCGCAGAGAAATCCTGTTGTGGGTTCTGTCTTTTGGTGCAAGTAATTTTGTGTGGAGTTCTTTTCCCGTTTTGAGTAAATCCTACTGTTAACTCACTCATCTTGGTCTGTAGGTTTCATTCTTGGAATTAGAGGAGAACCCAGAAAGAAGAAATTGAAGATGAGTTGCTGGGGTCACCCTCAACACTGGAGGGCGTTACCTGCCATTAAGAGCTGTAACACTTCTTGGCTGTAGGGGCATGCAGCTTGTGCCAATTCCAACTGTCAGTGGATGCAGTGAATTGAGTTTCATCTCAAAACTTCAGTTTCAAAGCAAAGAGCTTGTTCTTCCCTGCCATGGAAGAAGGACAGAGCAAGAAAACGTCCATTTTCAAACCAGGAAGAGTTCTCACTAGAACCCAAGTGTGCTGGCACCCTGATCTCTGAAGTCGAGCTTTCAGACTGGTAAGCAATAAATGTTTGGTTTTGAAGCCCCCCCACCTGCTGCCCCAGTCTGTGATCATTGGATACAGTAGCCTTAACTAAGACACCCCCAAATAAACTGTTTATATCCAAACCCTATTCTCAGGATCTATGTTGGGAAGAACTTAAACTAAGATCTCAACTCTGGTCCTAGCAGACTTTCGTTAGAAGCAGACATGTGGAGTATAGCTGAGTCACAGAAATTGTAGAGTTCTAGATGCTGCTAGTTTATGTGTGTTTCTGTTCCTTACAAGCTAAACACCCTTGACTTGACCAAAAGGCGAAATGAATTCAAGCTTGCTTCAACAGTGTCTATTCACATAAGACAATTCTCACTTGCAATGGAGAAACTGAGCTAGCGAGAAAGTTGTTAGTTAGATGTTGAGAGCCACAGCTGAAGCGCCCCAGCAAACTTCCAGCTGATTGGCTCATAGAGGCCACAGCAAACTTCCAGCTGATTGGCTCCTCTGTGGTGACGCTCATTGGGCTGTTTCCCTGCCCTTTCAGACCACAGAGCTGCTCATTGGGGGACTCTTTTGGCTCTGCTCACATGACCCAGCCAATCGGCCTCAAGAGCGGGAGGATTTGGGGTTGAGAGGCTCCCTGGAAGAGCCGGTGGTGGCAGTTGGGCTCTGAGGCAATTCCTGGAGAGCCTGCTTGGTTCAGCGTGCCTTCTAAAAATAAAGTTTGTTCCTGCTTGACAAGTAACTAGTGAATTGTGCCCAGCCAGACTGCGGCAGTTAATGACAAGCTTTTTAAACCATAATATTCTAAAATGTGGGAGAAGCTCCAGTCCCAACAGCAGCTCATTATTAAATCACTTTGAAGTTTTTAAAGTAGGCCTGGAAACATTTCTACAGAGAGATATTTCATTCATTTTGTTTTATTTGATTCTTGTTAGCTTCTAATTAGCCCCCAAAGAAGGTAGAATATCCTATTTTAAAGTACCAAATTATTAACTATTATCAAAAATAAATAAGTAGAGAAAATTTTTCTAACCAACCCTGCTGCCATAATAAAGTAGAAAAAGAATGGACCTGTTTTTTTTTTTTTTTTTTTTTTAATATTTTCTTACTTGTAGATGGACACAATACCTTTATTTTATTTATTTATTTTTATGTGGTGCTGAGGATCCAACCTAGTGCTTTACACATGCAAGGTGAGTGTTCTACCACTGAGCTCCAGCCCCAGCCCTGGATTTGAGGTTTCTAAGGTCTGGATACTCCCAGCTCTACTATCTAATAATTGAGTTTTATGGGATAAAGTCACTAAATTTCTCTAAGACTTCTTTCTTTTTTCCAGTGCTGAGGATTGAACCCAGGGACATTCTACCACTGAGCTACATCCCCATTTATTTATTTTTTTTTAATTTTGAGACAAGTTCTTGCTAAATTGCTGAGACTGGCCTTGAACATGGGATCATCCTGCCTCAGTTTCCTGAGTGGCTGTAATTACAGATGTGAGCCACCATGCCTGGCTGAGATTCAGTTTTCTATAAAAATGAAAATACTGGTGTAGATAATCTCTAGCTCTTGTTCTCATACTGTGCAGGATTTCTCTTTCTACATCTTCAATCAAACAATGCCAAACCATAAATTCTTTTTCAAGTACATTTATTCTTTATTGATTCATTTAGAGTAGCCTTCCTGAGTAACCTGGCTGCGATTCAGTTTTCTATAAAAATGAAAAGACTGGTGTAGATAATCTCTAGCTCAATACTTTTATTTTAATCACTTTAGAATAGAATTTACCAACAGGAAGCATAGTTAATTCAGAGGCATTTTTATAGAGTAATCCCAGGTTTTTGGTATAGGTTCATTTTATCCATAAAGTCAAGAGAATGCAATCAAGCTGTGTATAACTTCAGCACATCAGACACATTTTCATAAGGGAGCTACATATTATATCCCAAATAGATAAAGAAATGGCAAAAATAGTAATGAATGGTTTCATCAGTGGATTATGACATTATCTGCTGGCAATATTAGTCTGATTGCTACTGATGCAATAAAGGCAGACAACTATCTGCGAGAGTAATAAATCTAAGCAAAAATTGTGAATTGTTCTTAGTTTAAACATGGAGTAACCATCCTGCTAACCTAAGAGAAATCCATGCAGTAAATCACTTCAGGAGGAATAAGAATCCAGAAAATTCTGCTTCTAAAGGGTAAAGCATCATTTTCATTTTGAGACCTACTTTCAGATACTAAATTAAATTTTAGATGGCCTCAGCTTTTTTCCTGTTTCTAAAAGACCCAACTCACAAATTTGTCATGCCTCCAGTTTCCAAAAGCTGGCACTGGTAGTCTTTTCTCAGATGAATTCCAAGTCTCGTTCAGCTTGGCTAGTTAATTATAGTCATTATCATGAAAAATACTAGGTCACATTAGTTCCATTTTTTTTCTTTGCAGAAGAGAGTAATGTGTGAATGTTTAGTCAGGTCATTTTGTGTTCAGCAACTAACTCTGGCTTTTATTACTCGGCTGTGACATTGGTAGAGGTCACCTGCAAAGCCATAGGCAGGCAGGATAGAGTAACTTGTGCAAGGAATGTGACAACTAAATAATGTAATAGAATTGGTTTGTTTCTGCAACACAAATGCACTGAGATATTGGTTCACCTTTAACTCTGTCATCTGCGGAAAATGACTTGGTTTCTCTTGTTCCTAAAATGTTCTATCTGTAAAATGGGGGTATAATTTTATTTCTTGAAGATCAATGGCTGAACAAAAAGAACAAGGAATAAAGAAAACATAGGAGAACAAAGAGTCCCCAGCTTCAGAAGAAATTGTGAATCAGGAACTGTATGGCCTTCCTTTTGGTCCTCAAAGCTCCTCTGAAATGACAGAAAAGGGATTTTTTTTTTTTAAGATAGAAGCTTGAAAAGCTAAGTAAAATAGGAGATAATAGCAACAAAATTTGGAAGCTGAAAAGCAGTCAGTGGCCTAGAAAACCTAAGAAATCTGAATTGTTAACTGCATAGTGGAAAGCTGTGAACCAAATAGCTATACGGAGCATCATGGGAAGGGCTTTAGGAATTGTTGGTAACAGTGAACCCTGGAAGTTGGGATGAGGGTTGAGCTGAAAGCAAAAGGATTGGATGAAATTGTGTATATGAACCATTTAGAGGCCACATCCCTTACCTAATTCTGTGCAGCATTTGACTGCCCTGCCTGCACTCTAGCAGCAGCTGAAATTTGTTTTTTTGAAAAAGAATATATCAGGGGACATCTGAACTGGGGAACACCAGGTACAGTTAAGGTCAGAAGAGCTATATGAAAAATAGGGGATTAAGTAAACATTTAGACGAAATGCTGCTTCTCCTAGCCCTCTTCTTCTACTTGGCTCCTATAGAAATGACAATCAGACTTGAGTCCCATGTTGCTAACCAAGGTATCTCATTGCCAGTTATTGAATTATAGTTTTCCTAACTGAAAGGTTATGTTATAGGGAGATTCTGTAATTCCATCATGAGGCTCATAATGTCTGATTTTCTTGTCTTTTGTAAAATTGCAGACCTGATGATCACAGCCTGGGTTCATCATATCATTAGAAATCAAGAAATGATAATATTCTAACTCTATCATGCTTTCTTCATTTATGGCTAGAATACCTCTAAAACCAGAAAATTTCCCTCATCAACTATCTGCCTACTTTGACATAAATGTGTACAGGAAAGTCAGGATAAATGGTTGGTTCTTTCCCCTTATTACCAGCTTTCAAAATAATAAGTTGTTTTCCTGGCAAAGATTTAAGATTTTTTGATGTGTTTTAATTATTATTGTTAATATTGGTGTCCTCTTTCTTTTTTATAATCATTTCTATTTTTATATCAAAGCTATATATGCAGAGTATAGTCAAATCATTTACTCATTTTCTACCTTCCAAAGGCAGCTATTTTCACTTCTCTTAGCTAATTAGCTTGATATCTTTACCAACCCATGCTCATTATTTTCTTTTCAGTTTTCAGCATTATGTACTGACTTTTCAATACTGAAAATGAGGATTTAGCTCAATTCTACCCTCCCAGCCTCTACCCCACACAGGCATCCATCACCTATAATCTTCATATAGTTATAGCATAATTACATTTAGTTCAATATTAAATGTTTTTATTGACTGTGTAAATATTATTCATAACTGAGGCCTATACAACACCCTGGTTATTCTTCCATCTTTGTACATTTTTTTATTTTACCTGGAGTTAATGATTGCCATTGGTTGTTTGCTCACTTAATTTTCTATATTCTTATTACCAATTCAGTCTCCAACTCTTCATTAACGATGTAAATATTGTGTTAACACTTTTAATGTATCAGGTCCTCTTTCCATGTTGACACCTTGAATAAACTTTCTGAAGTTTTTAGACTGCATCCAACCAAGTCTTCTGGTGTAAGGATGTCATTCTGTGATCTCCCTCACTTGTAAGCTGATGAGATCCTGTGACCTCTTCAGATATACCCACTGTTCCCTGGCTTCCTTACCTCTCTTTCCTTTGATGGGTCTATTTTTAACTTTTGCTAAGAATCTGATAGGTTCAGGCATTTGAAAATTCATGTCCTTCAGTTATGGGACATTTAATTCCCAATTCTTTAATAATCTCTTCTCCATTTTCTTTGTCCTTTTTTTTTCTGAACTTATCATTGATTGGATGCTGAACCATCCAGGTTGGTCCTTTAATTTTCTTACCTTTTCTGTATTACCTCTTTGTCCTCTCACTCAGCTTTCTGGAAGATTTTCTCAGCTTTATGTTCTCAGCTTTTAATCTCTTTATTACAATTTTAATCTCCAAAAGACTTTTTTGTTTGTTTGCTCTCTTCCTTTTACTGGCACCCTCTTCTTGTTTCATAAATGCAATGTTCTCTTTTCACTCTGAGGATATTAATGAAACCCTTTTCTTTACAATTTTCTTCTCCTTATAAACTTGATTTTTCCCCTCACTCCTTTAATTGAATGTTTGTTTGGTTTTGTTTGGCC